GATTAAATGTCAACTAGTTTTATATGCCATTTTGTAAGCAAATCCGAAAAACAAGTAGATAAGTAAAGGTGAGGGTTCAGAAATAAGACTACTAGCAAAAAATGGTCAAACCTGGTCTTGGTCTATCAAAAAACGTTGTATTCAAGGACAATATTAGTAGGAAAGGCATATTAATGATTTGGAAAGGACACACACACAACTAGAATTGGAAGATTTATTGTTCTAATAAATTAAACACGATTGAGAATAATAATATGGATGATATCACTGCTCTTAATATTCCCGAGACACCCAAACAAATTAATTGAGATGGGTGTCATTTAAACTCGTTAATTTGAAACCTAATCTATTGCATGATTAATTTCAATTACATATTTGAATTTTGTCTTCAATTAGATCGATCTCTGCCCAGTTCGCAGAAGCATTTTATCCTAAAAGTGCAATTTTCTAACTTATTGTTTTAGACTCTAAAAAATAAATAAAAAAATTTTGAGGCTTGTTAGTTTATGATTGCTTTACTTAGAGGATGATCAGATTAGAGCCTCCACGTTCATCCACGAAGACATAGGCTGCATAAAATGTAAGCCTTCTTTTACATAATTCACAATTTCTTCTATGCCAAAATGGCTCTATTGCACTCCCAGTCAACATGCCAGCAAGATCAAGTTGGCATAAATAACGGTTAAATAATAAAGTACAATATCTTTATAAAGGAAAATACTGTGGAATCTGGTGTACCTACTTGGCATTACGAATTTGCAACTGTTAACATAATTGTACTAGAAAAAAAAACCACTGTAACATACTAATTACTTGATTCGGATGTTTAGGCACAAACATACTTGCGTGCAAGACAATCATGAAGCATCTTCAAACGGCTGAACCGAAAGCCAGTAATGAATTTCATCACGATTTCTGCAGAACACGCCATGTTTGAATAGCCAAGAACGCAATTAGAAATACAAACGGGGATCCAAAATGGCACCGAGATGCTGACGCAATCGCCAGGAAAAGATAAGAGAAAAGTAATACTAACATGCAATTATATTTTTACACTAGCTTTCCACCCGCGGCTTCGCCCGCGTGGAATTTTGTCTGTCACAGAAAAACTTTATCGCGCGCGTCCCTGTTTCAAAACCGGGATAAAAACTATCCTATGTTCTTTCCCGGGACTCAAACTATCTCTATGCCAAATTTCACCAAAATCGTTTGCGAGGTTTAAGCGGGAAAGCGTAACAGACAGACAGACAGACAGACAGACAGACAGACAGACAGACAGACAGACAGACAGACAGACAGACAGACAGACAGAGTTACTTTCGCATTTATAATATTAGTTGGGATTTTCGAGAACTGAAGAAGAGAAAATAGAATTGAAAAAGTTGTTTATTATTAGACACTGTCCGACTCGTTGGATCTTTATGAGTCTGAAAAAAATTCTTCTTTCTTGCTTTCATCGAAATTTCAAATAGCAACAAAGAACCATAGACATTGGTTAAAAACCCCGGACAAATCGACGCATCTAAAGTTGCAAAATCAATATTGTGAAGACTGCGTAATTTCAGGTTTCTGTAAAAACTATTGGACCGATTCGTAAGAAATATTTCATGGGACCACTTAAGGAGTTTAGGAGTATATTCTTCGTAAAGACGAATGAGGTCTATCGTTTTAGCGCTCACCAGTTAGCGCCACTGTAGAGTAAGGTCCTGTCACTTGCTAGTAGCGAAGACAGTGGCACCAACTGGTGAGCGCGAGAGTAGTAGGAGGACTATCGTATTTGCACTCATCAAGATGGCGCCACTGTAGAGTAAGGTCCTGTCAATCGCCAGGGGTGCCAACTGTTAAGTATAAAAACGAGCCCTCATTGAGAACCCCTTGTTTGGCAGACAGTGGTGACTGAGTTTGTTGCAGCGCTTCTTCTCAGCACTCAAATGTTTTTCTCGAAAGGGTAGAAAAATTTTGAGACATGAGACTCTCAGAGCATTTGAAGATTTGTAACACTGTACAATTAATTGGTCCAGACGAACACATTTTCATATTGACTTTTGATTTGCCATCAGTTAAAAATGGCCAGTGTTCAGGCTATAGGTAAAAGATTTACAGCTGTCCCCTTTCTAAAGTGCAAGGCTTGCATGCAGGTCACGTGCGCTCGGCCAATCAGAGCGCGCCGCGAGGAGGCGCGGCGATGACGCGCGGCTTACGCAACTCGTGCGCAACGTTTCGACAGAACCGCGCCTTCGCCTTTCTTGGAAGTTTGGTTGTCAGTTGTCACGTATTTGACGTGGAAAGGTCGAAGGGTCGAATTATGAGAGCTTTGCTTTGATTGAATCTTAGTCAGAGACAAAATTCCTTTATTTGCATGGACTATTCAAAATAATGCATACTAGAAAAATAACTTTAAAGTTTTGCTCATGGAGCCTTCACAAGTCTCATAATCTTTGGGCCCTACCGGCGCTTCGGGATCAGCATTTGGCAAGTACTGAGAAGAAGCGCACGCAATAAACTCAGTTACCACTGTCTGCTGGTTGAATTAGATAGAAATAACGATAGTAACATGATTGTTTCAGAAGCAGTTCTCTGAATTTACTACGCATTCTTGTATGTGTGTCTTAGAAGTTGGCCCAGTTTCTGAATGTCTTTCGCGCAAGTGTCCTGATAACTTCTTAGCTTGAACGTCCTCATCTTTTAAATCAAGTATGAACTTTTCACATTAAATTCATAAACAGAACTAAAGCAGTAGGCCTAAGATGCACGCCGTGATAACTTTTATCGACGTCAAAATGTATGGGCAAATCGATAAAATGGCGTGATAACCGCGTATCGCGGCGCGCATCTTAGGCCTACTGGAAAAAATGTCGAGAATCTTTTCTATCGGAAAGTCTATTACAGCACTGGTCCATTTACTGTCCCGAAGCAGTGGTAGGGTTAATACTGGGACGTGTAAAAGTGCTTTTTAAAAGCCTACTTGCAAAAATAAAATGAGTTTTATGTATTAGTCTATTATTAGACAGAGGCTAATCACTTTCAACAAGAACTGCTCAGTTTTCCTGTAAGTACCCACTTCATGCACTTATAATTAATCGTTCTTAAAGTAGAGACAGCCTGCTCTGCGGCCAGTTGTAATAGGAATAGGAATTATTAATGACCCTAGTGCATTTACAATCTGTGCCTGTACCACAGAATATAATAATAATACAAGTCTGTACATGGCATTTTCCTCGACCTCTTTTCAGACGCGCTACGTGCACTGACTAACGTACAGATTCTAAAATTAGTGATGCACATTATGGCTGGGTTGCGCCATCTTACTTAGACTTTAACAAACCTCAAAAATCTGTCAAACTCCATACAGAAAGCACTGGTTATTGTTATAGTTACGGTCAAAGTTAGGTGGTGCAACTCAGCCTAAATTCTAACACAAGTGCATGGCTGGCAATGGCTGAATTGTTATAGTACCTCCTTCATCTACACTTCTATACTAATTTTATAAATGCGAAAGTAACTGTCTGTCTGTCTTGCTTTCACGCCTAAACCACTGAACCGATTTCGATGAAATTTGACATAGAGATAGTTTGAGTCCTGGGAAAGGACCTAGGATAGTTTTTTATCCCGGTTTTTGAAACAGGGACGCACGCGATAAAGTTTTTCTGTGACAGACAAACTTTCATGCGACATCCCGCGAAAAACATCTATGAAATAATCAAATGCGGGCAGACCGCATGCGGATTAGATCCGCACGCATGCGTAATCGGTATCACAGGAAAATGGCACTAACACCTATGCAATATATCAATATTAATTAAAGTAAAAAAGTAGGTGTTGTTATCAGAAATCTCTGTTCCAATTAAATGTTAACATAGGAAATTAGCCAGTTTTTTAGCTCTGACTACCACACCACTAACACTTGTATGAAATTATAAGAATAATACCTTTTTAACTAAGTAATTTTTACAATCTTTTCACCACATAAATAATGGTAATAAATTCAAATTCTTAATTAGTGCTCTTTTGCTCTTTATACTTGCTTTTTAAGCGAATAACATTTAAAATAGTATAATAATATGTAGCTTGTTCTACCTGCACTTCAGGACAACATTTAACCGCTGAGGTCGAAAAGTAGTAGTGGAAGTAACAGTACCCTTAAAAATTTAGTCAGGCAAAGTCCATACATTCTTGTCATTTCAATAATTATTCACTTTATTGAATCCTAGATTTGAGATAAGTGAGAAAAGTCACTTTTAATAACAGTTCTCCGGTAGCTTGCAGATTGACCCTTTAGACAGCATCAAGCATTGATTCAGATATTCCTGATGACTCATAATTGATCAGGAATATCTTCATCCCTTATTCTTATTTTGGCAACCAATTCAAGTGTTATGCAAGGCAGTGTTATTGCCTACTATTTGTTACTTATCTAATGTGCATAGTAATAGTGTCATATAGGAAACTTTGCCTACAATTTTCTCACAGGTTACATAATGCTGTTACAGACAGTCAGATGTTTTAAATACTAAATAAGGTATTAAAATAAATAATATTGGGTCATTGGTAGTAAATAAGATTCTTAAGCTTAATAATTATCTTTTTTCATTCTTGAGTTTAATTATCACAATATTATGATAATTATTAAGATAACATAAGCTAGAATAGCTTGCTAAGTGGAATCATGTATTTACTTGCCTTATGTGTGGTTATATCCAATAAGTAAATTAAATTGAAACTTCTTTTTGAAAGATGTAGGTACAGAAATGTACTTACCCAATTCTTCTTTCGCATCACAAATTCTTTAGATAAAAAGCACATATTCCAAATTATCAAAGAAATTATGGTCCATTTTAACCTAACAATATGGTATTGGGAATTCTGATTTTAAACCCATTTAAAAATAAAAATGGCATTGATTTAATTGCTACAAAATTAAAACAATATCCGCAAGTATTTGCAATAAAATAATTGAATAAAGAATGAAATCAAAGCAGTTTAAAAATCGAATCACTCACCTTACTCAGCAATGATTGGAAATCAGAAATTCAAAATCACACAGCGCCTGCGTCGTAACTACACTTCCTTGAAAAACACTTGCCCCGTAAGTAATACAGTTTTCTTAACTTTTGACGTGATTAATATGATATTTAAACAATCACATCCAATTAAAAATCTTGAAAAAGAAAGATGCGGCTCATACACGCAATCTACGATTTTGACACATTGGCTTGACATCTGTCTTCTGTCAAATTACAGCTGATTTCGTAGTGATGTGCAGGGTTTTGGATTCTGTCATTTAAATCAATATTTCGTGATCGAATGAAAAGACAAGTTAGTGAATGAAATACAGTGTATTGCATTGCATGTGATAGAAAGATAATAATGTTTTATTATTTTTTTGCGAACTTTATATTCTTAGTCATAATAATAGGTATTTATTAACCTAAATAATGTGGGCTAGATGAAAAATGTTAAACACTTTTTAGAATGTTGACAGTTGGCATTGGTAAATTATTCTATAAAAAACATAATATTTTAAGTTCAGAGCAGAATAGATTAAGCCGTTATGGTTACCTTCTCGAATGACGTTAGCAAGGTAACCAGGGTAAGCTTCTGCTCCCCCTGAAACTTGATGCTGGGCATACTTAATTATTAATATCCCTGAGGGAACCACCGCTGCCTAGGGAGTTCCACCAACAAAATTAAATAGTTCTTAATGGCCAAAATATCGATTATTTTATTACGTTCCCAACACTAGCAAACCATATTGCTGGCGGTTGGATGGATTGTATGGATGCGTTCGCTTTCTACGTAACTTGCCTACTTGCTATCAAGTGCGTTCTTCGAAATTAAAATAAAAATTAACTGAAAACTGAATGAAAAAAAGATTTATGATAAGAAAGGTAATTTGGTATTATTCTATGAATTTTGTTGTATATCAAGAGATATTGTATGATGCTGGATGGTGCTTAATATTCTTATATTAAACTCGGAATTTCGTGTGTGTGGTTGGCCTCCTAAATGTATGCCTGCCTACCTATTTTAAAAGTGGTCAGAAGGAATAAAGAAAATAGTAAATATTATGTAAAGTAATTTTTGTATTTTTTTATTTTCTCATTTGCTTAATTTCTATTCTAAGTTCTTGATAATACTATAATATTTAGAAAATCACATTGAATACATAATTGAAATGTATAAATTACATAAATAATTATTTTTATTTACAATCCAATCATTTTCTATAAATAAATAAGAAATTCATTTTAAAATATATTAATTAATAAAATTATTTAATAATAATTCCAATTAAATATATAAAATGTCTAAATAAATAAGTTATACCATCGGTGTCCATTTTCTAGCCAAATTGTGATTCATTTTATCAATTTTATCTACCTACTAATATCGTTTTCCTACGTAACAAACTATTTATTAATAAGCCTTGCACGATGTAGGAACACGGAACCACTTGGGTTGCTGCTCTGGTACTCCAGACACTTGAGGGTTACTGCCCTGTCGGATCTGGTCTTTGTACGAGTTGGACATCTCGTCAATCTTCGGCATGCAGATCACCTGGGCAGCCTGAGTCTTGAACCCTTCGGCACGGCAGTGAGCCTGGCAAGAGGGCAGAGGCCTAGACGTCACACAAAACTCAATGTGATCCTCATAAAACTGAATCTGCTGTTGGATCTGGCACTCTTCGCGAGATTGCAGATAGCTTCTCACTTTGTACAACTTCTTACCAGACTTCTGATCTTCAGCGTCACTGACTTGCATAACATTTTCCCATTCCTTGTCAGAAGGCAGGATATCTGTGTACTCCTTTTTGGTAGGGTACGACAGTTTCTCGGCCTCAGCCTGGAGTTCCACGGTCTTGGGGTCACATTCAGCATCCTTCAGAGCGTATGAAGCAGCATAGTGGTCTGGACGATCGACTAGACCGCTGGGGATCAGGTAGTCATCACGAGCCTCGCCGTTCATGTAGCCGCAAATGCCTCTGATGTTGTTACGGTTTTCCTTGGCGAGAACCACCAGCCTGACACCATCGTAGATGACTTGGAGACGTTCTTGACGGATGTTCAGGATCAGGGTACCGTCGGGCAGAGTGTAGTACTTCAGAAGAGGCTTCTCGGAAATGTCGTCCCAGTAGATGGTCAAATCTCCCTCGGACACTTTCTTGGCGTTGGTCTTGACTTTCAGGGTTAGTTTGTTGCCTTGAGGAGTAGGCGTTTCGATCTCCAAGTCCTTGCCATTGCGCGATCTGAAAAGGCAGAACATTGATTAAATACTTAACCATTTTTAATTTTGAGGAGCACTATTAGTTTCATACTGTTATTATAACTCATAGAAAACTGCACATAGTGAACTAATCGAAGGTATAGGTACTGGTTAGTTATTTGAGGTTGAGGTTGCTTTCTAAATTACGAAAATATAAGGTAACCTGTGACTTACTTGTAAGAAATGTACATTTCCAGTTTGTCACTAGGTCTTCTGGCCAAGACGACGAGTTGTTCATTGGCTTTACCGACGCGTTTGCCATCATCCTGCATCACTACATGCCACGAGCGCGTCAGGGTGTAGTCATAGCTGCGGTTACTGAAGGTCCTGACCTTGCTTGCATCAACAGTACAGAATGCTGGAAAAAGGAAAAGAAGAATAAGTATTGTAAGAGTAATTGACAAGGCCCTACGACGCTTGTAAAAATTAAGAGTCGATTGAAATACATACGTAAGTACTGATGACGCGTGAAGTAGTTCAGGACGCGTTCATGAGGCTGGATGGGCTGGTAAATAGCAAGAGCACCAGCAGTCACCCTTGGGATAGGCACGTTGGTAAAGCGAGCTTCACCAAGTCTTGAGCTGAGGACCAAGTTCATTCTGTTCTCCAAATACCACATCTGCGATTCAATTTCGAGCTTGCCTTCAGGCGTGGTCTTCATTAGGTTGACATCTGAGTTCCAGTATCCAAGGTGTTCAGCCATTTTGTACGCACGGAAAACCCAGGACTTAGCGATGGGGCTCATGTCCTTATATGTCACTGATGCTTTAAGGTAGTCAGGAGCGTGTGCGAACACAATCATCCTATGACAAGCTTCCTGGTAGTTGTTGTTCTTTTCCATTTCCTTGGCGCATTTCTTGCCCAACTGGTGTTCTTTGAGCTCCTCAGTAAACTTCTTGGTGCGTTCAGATTGACCTTGCACGTGGATATTTCCGTTCTGACCGAATTTGACGTCAGCCTCGAAGTGCAGCTTCATGTCCTTGTTAAGAGCTTCCAGGAAGTTAAGAGGATTAACCGTAGGCTTGTTCACGGTTGCAACACCGTTCACCTGGTTGTTTCCAAGCTGAGCGGAGTTTCTGGCAGCGAAGAAAGCATACTGAATCTTGGGTTCGACTGGGTTATTACCCATCGCAGCGGTGAAAACGAACTCGTGCTTCTGAGGACCCTCAAAAGTAGTGCTGATGTCCAGAACTTGAACCTTGGACATTTTAAAACCTGATGCCACGCGCTTAACCATTTGTCGGCGACGGTTTTCACTGTTTGGAGCCACATCCTCGATGTTTGAGGCCACAAGAGGTTGAGGTGCTTCCTTTTGGTTGAAGAATGTATCTGCAAGAAAGATATCCGATATAATTTTTTATTCGTTTTCTGGATAGTATATTGTGTTAAATGGAATAGAACCAAAACTTACCTAATACAGCAGTTAAAGTGATACGTTTGTTAGAGCATTGCTTGCCGAGATGTTTGAGGTTGAAGTGTGTCATAGCAACATCCTTTTGGAACAGAGCCTGAGCGATGTTGGTAAGTAGGTCCTTCGATTTTATCATTTCGCCCACGTTCTTGTAGTCCGAGGAATATGAGTATCCTTGTAATTGGAATTGCTGGCCCACTGATTGGCCAAACTTGGTGTCGATTGCTACTACCTTGTTCTTGCGGGTAATAGCTTTGGTGGAGGGATCCAGGGATGCAGGCACAAGAGACTCTTTCTTCTGGTTGGCGGAGTATGGCCATACACTGTAATGGACGATGGTGTCATCCTGGTCAGGGCGTAGAGGTTCCACGCTCACCTTCAGCTCCCTAGACTTCAATTCCATTTGCATTTTTAAGGGCAGGTTCACTTGCAATTTGCTGGTCACACCAACGTTAGCAAGCTGGTTGGAAATGGTGTCCATGAAGCCAACACTACCGTCAATGTTTCTGGCGAACGTGAAATGGATTTCCTTGTCGATGTTCGCTAAGTAATGTTCGTTCTTCTCGGACGGAGGGGTGATCTGGCCTTTAGATTTTTCTTGCATGTGAAGAACGGTGGGCACCTTGTACTTGAAGATGAAAGGCATACCCATACTGACTGGGAACATAATGGATACTTGAGCCTGGTTCACTACTTTAGTGTAATGTTTCTCAGTGCCTTTAGCCAAGTCAGCCATGTTTTGGTTAATTATAGCAGAAAGTTGTTCAATGTCGCTCTCACTGAAAGTGAAATACCTCTCTTGGCCTCCTAAACTGAAGTACAACGCAGCTTCAAGTGGGTTCTTAGGTTCGGGTTTAAGTTTCAACATTTCAGAGATCTTCTCAGCAGAGAATTTGTGGTCAGCCTCGGACCTAGGATGAGGTTTGCTGATTTTGTCCATTTGACGTTGGATGGCGTTCATGAAGTCCTGTACGCTTGAGAATGAAGCGCCAATCTGTAATAAATAAAGAAATAATTTTAAATATAAGTACAACAGAACTTAGTTTATACAACTTAGCGAATAGCCCAGTGGCTTTCACTGCTCGATTTATTTAATCAGCCTCTTTATCCTACACACTGAAGTCGAAAAATAAGCAGCGGCGCACTATTTGGTTCTAATAACTTTGATACTCACTGTGTTCATCTTGTTCCAACCACCAGCCTTGGTCTTGAGGGTGTACCTAATGTCCTTGGGGAGCAGACTGTCTTCACTTCCAATCTGCGTGTAGGCTCTCAGTATGCTAAGTTCGGACTCCATGTCGCTAAAGTCATTTAAGTATTTGCTGGAGTACTGCTTGCCATAATTCTGCTTAGTCACCATCCATTTAGCAACCTGGGCGGTCCTGGCACTGTAATGATAGGCATGTTAATACATTTGTTGACAATAAAGATTTGTTAATATTAAAAAAATAAAACTTACAGGTCCCGGTAGTGGGGGATCTTCAGTTCAGCAGCCGATATAATGCTCTCCTTCAGAACAGCTCTTACATGCACGCT